AGATTCAGGCATGACAGTTCTTTGATGATTCAGCATAAATTTAATTTTTTTAATCATTCAGTAACTGTTAGGTCTTTGTTTTTTGAGAGTAGGTATCAGATTTTTTCTAATTCAGAGATGAGAAAGTAGCTACTTATTCCTGCTGAGTGCAATCACCAGAAGGTCCTTGTCATCACAGTACCTGGTACAGACTTTTTGCCCTGTGGTACATTTTGCTTCACTTTATCCTTACTAATATGAATGTGGCAGGACTTTGAATGTTGGATTAGCTTCATATCTGCAAACAAAGTGTATCTTTTGTGTTTAACCTTACTTGCAAAGCAACATGTTCATCTGTTTAAAGAAACCAGTGAAAGATGGGAAGGTAACACTCTTCCTCTGTCTGGGAAGTTTTCTGAGTATGTTGGCTACTTTGACATACATGTTTTCTTAAAATATTAGAAGTCATTTAATATTTTAACTCCCTCCTAAAACTAGAGGAAATGAGCTGAAGGTAAAACTTCACATGGTTTCCCAGCATCAATGTATAACTGCAAGGCAGGGCATTATGCAGGAAATATACATCATTTTCCAAGTAAGACTGCATCTGAAATATATGGGCTATTTTTTTTTTCTTTTTTCTTTTTTTTTTTTTTTTTTTTTTTGTTTTTTTTTTTGTTTGTTTTTTTTTTTTTTTTTTTTTGTTTTTTTTTTTGTTTGTTTTTTTGTTTTTTTTTTTTGTTAAACGGTTGTATTGATACTGTTTACAGCTGAGTAGTGAAACCAAATAGATGTGCCTTTAATTTGTTTTTAAATGATCTCTTATATTCTGGAGATGATAATCTGAAGGGTGGCTGCCATAGTAATGTGCCAGTCACCATGGCATCTGAGCATTATGAAAAGACATTCTGGGCTGCACAAAGACAATGCCACCAATTTGTATTTCAGTCTGATCAAAAGTGCAGGACCAAAAAGTTTGCCAATAAATGTAGCTCAGTGGATGGCACTGCAATTTAGAGTTGCTTTACACAGTAAAGATTTTGGTCCTCCTGTCAATACCAAGTGAATTTATCAGTAAAATCCTTAGCACAGACTTTGTCCATTTACTGGGCTAACTTTTTTCAGTTGCGTGAAGAGTGTGGCTGTAGATTTTTATTGGCCCAGTGTAGGAGCAGTTCACAGTTCTGCTTTATAGAAATCTTTAGAACTTTTTCCTCCTCATGGAGTTTTTCACTTTAAACTGAAATTAGGTCAGTTGGTAAATATTATAATCTCTTAAACATTTTACAGTCTGCTTTCATAAATTAGGTAATTTAATGAAGAAAAGGGGTTTTCTACACTCAATTGGTAAATATTCTAATCTCTAAAACATTTTACAGCCTGCTTTCGTAACAGTGTTCTAATTATCAAAGAAACCAAAAATCAAATCATTATTTAAAAGCAAGCTTATTTTATCTTAAATAATTGATTGTGGCTTGTTGTTTGAAAGAGGACTACTTTGGCATGAATTCCAAATCCAGTTATGATCTTAACTCAAGCAGTTTGTTTAATCAAACATTACTCTAATCAGTCTTACATGGTCCCCTACCCAGCCAGGCCTGCCTAACACAACTGGTTTATTCTGCGACGAGTTGCTCAACAGATGTCATTCTGCTAGAATAATGCAGCAGAATACTTGTGCCTTGGCTAAAATTACTTCAACTTTGATCACTTTTGTCCAGCACATCAGTCTGGCATTGTGCTTTATACCAACATAACACTTTACCCCAAGCATGCCTTTCAAGCTTAGAATAGCAGAGGAATGTTATTGAATTCAGTGCAGTTACAGATGAGTTAATGAAAGAAGGGAAATACTGTTTTTTTCATAATGCCTTTCTGTTGTGCTTTGGAATTAAAAAGGAATTTGAGGAATGTGACTTCCGAGTTATTTATTTTTACATCTGAAGGCTTTTTGAAAACAATATTATGTAGTCCTATTGACCCCATGTTTCTGTAAATAAGTTTCACTTGTTATTTAAAAATAGTGCACTTTAGAGTTTTATATTGTGAAAATGATACTATTTCTGGTGTGTAGCTGGAAAATAAATATTTCACAGGGACAGTTTGTCCTGGTTTTTAATGCCAGAAAATGAAACCAGCAAGAACTGTGTCCTTGTGATCACACAGGTCAGGACTGTTACATTTTGGGTTGTTGTGGGGCAGTATGAAGCAACATTTCTTTACAAAGCCACCAAGGAAACTCTGAGGAAGCACTAAAATGAAGTCCACTTGAATTGCTAATAGATACTTCAGTATTCTGTGTCTTAAAGACTCAAAGTTCTTTTTTCAATTTTTTTAGTTAAAATATAGTTGTAGTTTTTTTTTTTTAATTGAAGCATAGTTCCCAGGTCAGTCTCCCTGCAAAACCTCCTGAACAAAACTAATATTAACATAAAGTTATCATGTGTACATGTAATTTACCAGTTTTAGAAAAAAAATGAGAGATATCTTAATGATTTTAAAACACTGACCTGTGCAGAATATTTATATTCAGAAAGCTTTAAACTGATGGTATTGAAATTTTTATCTGCATAGCCTATGTATGAAATCTGTCCAGAAATTAGACAAAGCTTCACAGTTTTTCCTAAGGGGCACTTTATTAGCATGAAATAACTGCTAGTACTAAAAATAATGAGAAAAAAACAACAATAATTGAAGGGAAGATCTGAAAATACAGTAATAGCACCTGTAGTTTGTGTTGGATCTCAATATGCCTTGAATTGTTTGCAGTTGTGGGTATTTTTTGACAAACTCGTGACTGTACCGTTAAGAATTTTTTGAAGAATGTGGCCCAAATCAACATTTGTGAGGAAGACTATGTGTGGAAATCCCTGCCTTTTCCTCACCCTTCTTAGGATCTTTATAGTGATTAGAACAATTGTTTCACTGTTTAATGTCTGCACACGAATTCTTCATCCATTTATTGTTGTGCAGAATTTAAAAGAAAGAATCCATGGAGCATTTGTGTCTAAAGATGATCCAGGGAAAGAGTTTTGATGTTATTTCATTATGCAAAAATATTTTTAGATGAAAATCTATTGCCAGATGTTTCATATACATCATGTACTAAAAATAAATGACAAATTTTAGAGGGAACATATGAACTTTCCATATGTTTATATTACTTTATCTTGGAGTCAAACCTCAACTGTGCTTCAGTGCTGAAGATATGTCAAGTACTGATTAATAGGTAGGATCAAATGATATAAAAAACCTCTCTTACTGTATTATCTTCCTGAGAATGGTACTGTAGAATCATCTTTCTTTCATTCATTACTGGAATATGAAACCTTTAGCTAAATGGATTATGTTAGCATTTATAATTTTGGAAAATTTCAGCTTTCTTTCCGACTGTTGCAAACTATTTTTCTGTTCAGAAAAATTGTTAACTCAGGGTAAGTGCAGCAGACTGCAGGCAGGGTGCTAGCTCAAAGATCTTTTCCTGCTGACAGCTATAATATAATAAATTTAATTCCTTTCAGTTCACGGAAATTTTAGTAATTCTCATAGCAGAAGTTAGAACACAATTAATTGCTGTTTGTTTCCTGTTGACAAGTGAACAAGTGAAAATCTAAAGGCATCAAAGGACAGCTTTTGGAGTAGCCTTGTCATTTGCTTTAAGTCAAATATTATCCATCTGCCTTAATATCTTTTGGTTTAATGGGTTCTTGTGTTTGTTAGTGTTGGACTGTGCAGCCTTCTTGGAGCTGAGACCAAGGTGCAGAATTGAGACTTGCTCAGATATTTTGCCTAGAGAATATTATTTAAAAGTATCAAACCTTATTTTTATCTCTTTGAGAATGTTTTTCTGGATGCAATATAGGTTGTTGGGATCTGTCTAGACCTTTGAAAATGTGGGAGGACCTTTTATTCTCATGTAGGGATTTTATGAAATGTAAACCAAAAATAAACCAGCTTGGATGGGGCTCTGAGCAAGCTGGTGTAGTGGAAGGTGTCTCTGCCCAGAGCAGGGGGTGAATGAGAGGATCTTTAAAGTTCCACCCCAGATCATTCTGGGATTCCTGTGAAAGCCACCATGGCTCACTGGCATATTTTATTGTTCACAGCTGTGGTCCTGCTGGGCAATATTTACAATGTTTGTGCAGTCATTGTGTTCAGGTGTAAGACATTATTCAGAATTTAAGATACCACTCTCTGTCCTAAGTACCAAAATACTTCTTTCTGTGATTTAAATAATTATTTATTACAAATTCTCTGATAAAACTTGCCTGCTTTTATATCTGTGGTAGTGTTTTCATGGAAAGAGTTTTATAATTCTTGTATTTTGTAGTATTCTTTCTTTATTAAAAATTTTCAACTCTTTCTTCTTTTTTCCCTCCCTCCCTTCTTTCTGTTAACCATCATGTGAAATAATTAAGAGTAGCAACTTCTAATTTAATAGCATGAGGAAAGAGTTGATGTAAAGATGTACTACTTAGCATTTTGTTTAAAAATATTTGAAATGTGTTGTCTTAATTGAAAATGTGCTTATTAATTTTTTCAGGTTTAATATACTAATTTTTATTTTTGGAACCCATTTAAGAAACTTATGCAAAACTCATTATATTTCTCATTTGATAAGCTCTTCACCTAGTATTTTCAGGTGAAAATTAACTAGCAAAACAGACAGCTGAATATTTGTTATTACCTTCTGCTTCCCTTAACTTTTTCCATTACTTTGTAATACTTTTTGCTTGGAAATTTTGTGTTATGATTTTTTTTTTTTGCACTTTTAAGATGCTGAAGTAATAATGGAACATTTTGAATGGTAATTCTTAGATCTTAATTTTTTTTGATTCAACTCAGTTCCTTCGGTTGCTTTTGGCTGTGTAAACCTGCTGACCATATTTGAATCTAAGAGTGTTGGAAGAATCAGTTTTACAATAACCAGGAAAAATAAAAAGCTTGGTGCTATGATGAAAACAAAGCCCTTTGGCTGCCTTTTTTAGAGCAAATTCTGATTTATTTTTATTTTTTTCCAGGTGAAGCGGAATGTGTATGACCTGACCAGTATCCCTGTCCGTCACCAGCTGTGGGAGGGTTGGCCTTCTTCTGCCACAGATGACTCAGTGAGTTCCTTGGCTTCTCATCTCATTCCTGCCTAGAAAAGGCTGATTTTACATGGATTTTTGAATGGAATCACTCAGTAGCATTTAGTGTCTCTTATGCAGTACTTTAACATCACACACATTCAGAGTTGTGGTGTGGAGGATACGAATGCTCAAGGTTTGGATGCCTGCAGCTCAGGGAAATGATTCCTGTGTATCAGATTCAGTGCATGTTTCATGTGTCATGTTTCATTTCAGCCATTCTAGACTGAAGCAAGGCTGCACAACATTTTGGAAGTTGAAATCTATTGGATGATTGAACTTCAGACAAAAAACCCTGATTTTTGTGTACGCTCTGAGTGCACATCTAGGTATTTTTTAGTACATTAGCTCACCCAGTTCGTGCTCAAGCCTCTGCCTGGCTTCAGAGCAGGAGTTGTTCTGGCTGAAATCAGTGAGGGGTCACCACCAGTGACAGAATCCACTGACTCAGGATTGCCCACAGATTCATGAAATTGTGGGACTTACCTGCAGTATCCCATTAAATATCAGACTTGCTTCCTTGCATCCTTACAATGTGTTTTACAGCATGTCTTTCAGTTTCCTTCTGCAGGTATGTTCCCAGTGCTAGTGAGGTCTACCTTTCTTTAGTTAAAGAAAAACCCAACCAGTCCACTAAAAAAGTGCCTAAAAGGGTGAAATAATTATGTAGTTATGTTGTATGTAAATTTTGTGACCTGAGAAAAATGTAGAAAAATCAAGTTTTTTATTGAACCTGAATGTTCTACGAAGTGAAAATGGATTTGGAGTTTGCTTTCTTTCACATTGCCATTATCTGCCATGCATTACTTCCCTGTCTATTTCTGCTCTCTTCTTGTAAAGGGAGAATTGCTGTTTGAATATGACTGCTCATTCTTTTGCTCTGGGAAAAGGATTTATGCCAATTTAAAAAAAAAAACACAAAAGGCAAAAGCTGTCTGAATTTCCAGTGTACTTGAAAAATGTATCTGTGGTGGTGTTTGCAGAAACAGTATTTAAGTTTGAGAAAGGTGGTTAAATCTCAGTCCATGTATTCAAGGGCATATTTGAGCTGATAGATGTAAGGTCTGAAATAACAGAATGGTGTCATGTGGTAATTACAGGCTTTGAAATGTGGATCCATTTTAGCATTTTATTAGTTTACATTAGCCCAAAAAAGAATTGGAAACTCAACACTTCTAATCTGTTTTCCCACAGCTGTTAAGTTTTCATGTATTTTCCCCCTCCTTTTCTTCTGAGTAGCATACCTCACATATGTAAAACTCATTAATCTACTTTAAGTCTTTTTTTACAAGTGACATTGTTGCAGGTGAATTTTTCCCCTTTTCATCTTTAATGAAATTGGTGAATGTTGAGTCATCTGCTCTGAAGCAGACGAGTCCTCAAAGCTCACTGCTCGAATCTGGTGGTGCTGGAAGTTGTCAGCTGTGTAAACAGACTGGAGTGTGTTGCCAACAAAAATACAATTAATTTCTGCCTAAAATTAGAGGCTGTATCTTACTATTTATAAAGATTTAATGATAGCAATGACTATCTATGCTCCTGTGATCTGAACTTCTTTTTCTCCCAAATTAGAAATATTTTGTAGTAATTACTTGAGTAATTAATGATGATCTCTTGTGTTCAGTGGCAAATTTTTAAGATCACTTTTTCCATCATGAGTTTTTTATTTGCTGTCTTGTAGGGTACCCCATTGCAATTAAGGAGTTAAAGAAAGACTTGATTAAAATACTTTTTCATTTGCATGTTATGCAGCATAAGAAATACTTTGTAATACCACAGGAGGTTTTTTCAGTGCAGTTCTCGTTAACCTTTGGCTTAGCAAACAGGACAGCTAAATAGACTTGGCATAATTGGATTCCTGTATCATCTTGAGTCTCTTATGAACCTGCCAGACTACAGTCTTCTGACATTACCAGGAAATTTAGTGGAGTCAATAGTAATTTAAAACATTGTTGCTTCATCTCCCTTCAGAGTTAAGATATGTTCTCTGCTTGTACTACCTAATGGAATATGGGATACTGTATGAATTGTCAATAACTCTTTCAGATCTTTCTCACACTTTCACCAGGGGAATGGGTATCAAAACCTCCCCATGCAGGAGAATGTTTTTGTGCTGTGACACTTTGATTGTGGGAAACAAGGCGTATACAGGCCGTGCAAATCTCATTTCACCGTTCAGCAAGGACAAGTTTTAGCTTTTATTGAGCCTGAATAACTTTAATGTCACAAATGATATCTGTTCTGCTCATTAAAGTTCAAGGTAAATGGATGAGTTTTAACTCATTCTCTTTTTTTTAAATGGGTTTACGTAAGTAAAACTTAAATATATTCAAAATGTTAACTATCTATTTTCGAGGACATAGAGTCAAGTGATTCAGTGAAGTCTTGAAAATAATCCTAGCAAATAAAAAGCCATAATTTTAATTTACTATAAATACATTCACAATATGTTCTCAATTTTTAGTTTGGATTTTGTAACAATCTTAGCATTTCAGAGTTTGAAAGATGAGAGCCATGCCAGAATAATTTAGTAAAATTTCTAAAATTTATTCTTTTTTTTTTCCCTCTCTATTGGCCAAACTTCTAGACTTCCACTGGTAATTACCACTAGAGTCAAGTGGAATGAGCAATTTTTAAATATGTGATCACTGTAAAAAAAAAATCTCAGATCAGTAGGTGATGTTTTAGTTACAGGTTTTACATGGAAGCATTGTGATTTTATTTATATGTATGGGTGACTTTTTGGGTGTTAGTTTTATATGTGTATGTTAGAGGTAAAACTCTTTTTCCCCCATGAGGTCACTGGGTAGTGGTTTATTTCAGTAGAATGAGTTGTTGTCTGTGATGTTTCAGTGGTTTTTTGGTAGCATAGAACAGCATCCAGTAGAGGAAGAAGGAGACAGGTTGCTTTCTTGCTGCTTTTTGTTCTTGGTATTTAAGCTACGGGTTTTTTTCTGAATTGGTTCATTGTTTTAAGTCATTTCAGCACAGCAGTGAGAAATCCTGCTTTGTTGTAAGTAACGACAGTGAGCTGGTCAAAATGGAACGTATTTCTGCATCAAAAAGATGTAAAAGTTCTAGGGTGAGGTTTGAGGAGGGGAAAGGGGAGAGAGGCAAAGCCACAAGATGAAGTGTCTGATGTTGTAACTGTGCCCTGGCGCACGGATCCCATCCAGGGGAGCTCAGCTGGGAGTGCTCTGTTCCCACAGTGCTGCGGTTGGTGGAGACCTTCAGTCCTCATTTCACATCAGGTAACTCCGCTGCTTCGTGGTGGAGCTGAGCCACTGGACACTTGCTTGGGCAGCAGTAGGTGCACACTGACAGGTTTTCAGCCGTGGTGCTGGGCAGTCACATTTCAGGCAGGAAAAATGTGTTGCCACTGACACGTTGAGGGTCTGCATCATCCCTTGGGAACACAACCACCTTCATCCCCTGTGAACAGGACCACCTTCCCTTCTGTGGTGGCTGGAGCAGATGTGGTTGACATTCCTTAGCTGAATTTAATAGAGAATTCCAGGCTGTAAAAAAAACTCAAACGCTTATGGATGGTCTAATTAGCATTGCTGTTATATTTAGCTATTTCGTTGCTAAATACTAAGCATGGCATCTGCACAAATAGAAATTAAGAATGCTGGTAAATAAGGTTCTCGTACAAAGTGAAACCATTTATGACACTTTTTGGCTGATCTCCAGGTTTTTGAAGAGGTTGAGTATTAAGCATCTGAGTAATTAGTATTTGGGAGTATATATTTCTTTCCCTTTCCAGGTCTTAACAGTTCTTAACAGAAAGTTCATTACCACATGCTGTCATTGTGATATGAAAACAAGTTGTGAGGTTTACATGCACTGGCTGTTTAATTGTAATGGATGCCATGTCTGCATTTGCTGCATCATTTGGAGTCTTCCCTCTGGAACTGATTGAGTAAAGAATGAATAGTCCTGACAGAGCAAATGCCTACTAATGAGAAGTGTAAAATTTGCTATATTTAAATTAAAATACATACCTCATTAGAAAATATTTTGCTTTTTCTGTGTAAGAATATCATAATTATAATTTGCGTTGTCTGTAATGTTAATTACTTTGTGTGTTACTTTGATTACAAAATTCTCATCAATCGCTTGCAGTAGAGTAGTAGACTGGATCTGGTAGGATCCTTTTATTTTAGATACATAGAAGAATACTTGAAGTCTGTTTCATTGTGTGGGTTCAGGAATATGGTAGTTTCAATTTAACATTTATACTATAATCTCAATTTAGTAATGAAAATTTTTAGACAGTCCTCTCAGTCTTGGAAGTTCATGGTAATCTATGAAGTGGCATATTACTCATCATTAAGAAATATAAAAGTAACTGAGTAATTTAATAGACAGGTCCTAAATGTCTTTGTTTTAGATAACATTCTGACTTTGACTTATGGCTTGCTTGGATGCTTTTATGTGGATTAGAGTATGATGAATTATTGTGTTCTTTCCCCAGAAAAACTGAGGAGGATACTATGGGTCTTTCATCACTTTTTTAACCTCACCCCCCTGACTATTTTCAATTTATAAAAGTTAAGATAAAGTGATTTGAACTGATTTCATGTATGTAAAAATTACCATGTCAGGGATAATCAGTTCTGTGTTAAGTTTTTACTGTTTTGTCTCAGGATAATTTATTTAGAATTGTCCAATTTTAAGACACGAGATAACTCAATTGAAGTGACTTACACTTATCATTTTGGTTTTGGGAAGGGTTCATTTCCTCACTGATAATGAGTCTTAAAGAAGTGCCAAAAATTGTACTTGTATCTTTATAGTAAAGCCTATTGTACATGATATTAAAAACTTCAGTCTAGTAGTTATGATTTTAAAAAAACAAACTCAGCGTTCCCAGAGTCTTGTTCTGTGACACTTCCAGTGCATTACTGAGTTGTGCTGTGCAGCTTTTGAGCTTCTATAAACAATTTTAGTTGGGCCTTATCACATTTTATTTGATG